GACAGTAACAGTGTACAGTAAGAAGCAGAAAGCAATACTGTAACATTGGAAACTGGAAACTGGAACTGGTGCAGGGAGCAGCGAACTCAATCCTCGCAGCCTGATGGCCCCGCAAGGGGGCCGGCAGATTATTAGTCCTCTTCTAGTTATCATTAACCATATTAATAACATTACTAGCATGACTCGTCTTCTTAATATTCTAGTAGCATCATATACTAATACGGTTTCATAATTTTTCCCTACCTAGGCTCTGCCTAGAAGGGTTCTTACTCTCTAGCTTAAAGGGGCCGGGCGGTTCCCCCAGTCCCCGCCCCGCGGTTCCCCCAGTCACCTGGGAGCTTTAGCTTTAGCATTAGCGTTAGCTTTAGCTTTAGCTTTAGCTTTAGCTTTAGCTTAGCTTTAGCTTAGCTTTAGCTTAGCTTTAGCTTAGATTTAGCTTAGCTGTAGCTTGACTTTAGCTTAGATTTAGCTTAGCTTTAGCTTAGCTTTAGCTTAGCGTTAGCTTAGATATAGCTTAGCTTTAGCTTAGCGTTAGCTAGCTTTAGCTTAGCTTTAGTTTAGCGTTGGCTTAGCTTTAGCTTAGCTTCAGCTTAGCGTTAGCTTAGCTTTAGCGTAGCTTTAGCTTAGCTTTAGCTTAGATTTAGCTTAGCTTCAGCTTAGTCTTAGCTTTAGATTTAGCTTTAGCTTAGCTTTAGCTTAGCTTTAGCTTAGCTTTAGCTTAGCTTTAGCTTAGCTTTAGCTTAGCTTTAGCTTAGCTTTAGCTTAGCTTTAGCTTAGCTTTAGCTTAGCTGTAGCTTAGCTTAGCTTAGCTTTAGCTTAGCTTTACTGTTACTACTAATGCTGCTTTCCTAGGGGCTCCAACTCCTAGGTAGGGTCGCACTGGGATAATTTTAGTACTATTCTTAGTATGATGATTAGTAGTATGACTAACATTATTCCCTACCTAGGCTCTGCCTAGAAGGGTTCTTACTCTCTTAGCTTAAAGGGGCCGGGCAGTGGAACACGCCCCGGGCGGTTCCCCCAGTCCCCTGGGAGCGGTTCCCCCAGTCTCCTGGGAGCTTTAGCTTTAGCTTTAGCTGTAGCTTCAGCTTTAGCGTCAGCTTTAGCTTAGCTTTAACTTAGCTGTAGCTTAGCTGTAGCTTAGCGTTTCGCTTAGCTTTTCGCTTAGCGTTTAGCTTAGCTTTATCTTAGCTTTAGCTTAGCTTTAGCTTAGCTTTAGCTTAGCTTTAGCTTAGCTCTAGCTTAGCTTTAGCTTAGCTGTAGCTTAGCTTTAGCTTAGTTTTAGCTTAGCTGTAGCTTAGCTTTAGCTTAGTTTTACCTTAGCTGTAGCTTAGTTTTAGCTTAGCTGTAGCTTAGCTTTAGCTTAGCTCTAGCTTAGCTGTAGCTTAGCTTTAGCTTAGCTTTAGCTTAGCTTTAGCTTAGCTGTGGCTTAGCTCTAGCTTAGCTGTAGCTTAGCTGTAGCTTAGCTTTAGCTTAGCGTTACTGTTACTACTAATGCTGCTTTCCTAGGGGTTCCAACTCCTAGGTAGGGTCGCACTGGGATACTTTAAAATCTTATAGCTACTACTCTTATTCCTCCTCCACCTCCTCCTCCTGACCCTTCTCTTCGCCCATCCTCCTTCCAGTCCTCCTCCTCCTCCTCACTCACCCACCCTCCCACCCACACACCAACTCACCCACCCACCCACTCACCCACTCACTCACTGACTCACTCATTCACTCACTCGCTCACTCGCTCACTCACTCGCTCACTCACTCACAGACTCACTCCTCCCCCACTTCCCATCCTCCTCCTCCTCCTCAACTTCCTCCTCCTCCTCCCGCGCTCTTCGTCCTCCACTTCCTCATTCCTCGTCGTCGTCGTCGTCCTTCTCCCCCATCCCGCCACCGTGCCTGGGTTGTGGGTCTGGGGCCTCTTGTATATGTGTTGGGGTGTCGTGGGGAGCCTCGCGGGGGCCTCTTGGAGGCGGTTTGGGCCCCTCTTGGGGGCCTCTTGGGCCTCGTGAGGTATCTTTTGGGCTTCTTGGAGGCCTCTTGTGCGTACCTTGGGCGCCTCTTGAGGACTCTTCTAAGAGATCGTGGCCTCAGGGGCGCAAATGTGGCGCAAATTACCCGGGATCGTGGCCTCGGGGGCGCGAACGTGGCGTAATTCACACGGGATCGTGGCCTCGGGGGCGCGAACGTGGGGTAATTTACGCGGTATCGTGGCCTCGGGGGCGCACGTGGTGTAATTTAGAAACGGATCGTGGCCTCGGGGGCGCGACTGTGGCGTAATTTACCAAGGATCGTGGCCCCAGAGGGGAGAACGTAAGGTAATTTACTAGGGATCCTGACTCTGGGAGCGTGAATATGGTATGTGTTACAACGGTTCGTGACTTCGGGGACGCGAATACAATGTAATTCCCTACCTAGGCTCTGCCTAGAAGGGTTCTTACTCTCTTAGCTTAAAGGGGCCGGGCAGTGGAACGCGCCCCGGGCGGTTCCCCCAGTCCCCTGGGAGCCAAGCAAAAGCAACAGCAAAGGTAAAAGCACACGCGCGGCTCCCCCAGTTGCGCTCCCTGGGTGCCAAGCAAAAGCAAAAGCAAAGGCAAAAGTGAAGGCAAAAGCAAAGGCAAAGCAAAAACATAGCATAGCATATCATAGCATAGCATAGCGTAGCCTAGCCTAGCCTAGCCCAGCATAGCATTGCACAGCATAGCATAGCAGAGCACAGCAGATCATAGCATAGCATAGCATAGCGCAGCATAGCATAGCGCAGCATAGCATAGCATAGCCTAGCCTAGCCTAGCCCAGCATATCATTGCGCAGCATAGCATAGCATAGCGCAGCACAGCATCCACTATTGCTGCTATATATGTATACATATATATACGGCGTTTACCGCTCCTACTAATGTTGCTTTCCTAGAGGCTCCAACTCTTAGGTAGGGTCGCACTGGGATAATTTACAAAAGGATCGTGGCCTCGGAAGCGCGAATACAATGTAATTTACGAGGGATCATTGCGTCGGGAGCGCGAATCTCATGCATTTTTGCGTGTCCCACGGCCCCCCAGAAATTCAGAGCACGCGATTCGGGGACGCTAACCAGGGTGGTTTCTGGCTCCCCCTCGCGCGGACAGTAACAGTGTACAGTAAGAAGCAGAAAGCAATACTGTAACATTGGAAACTGGAAACTGGAACTGGTGCAGGGAGCAGCGAACTCAATCCTCGCAGCCTGATGGCCCCGCAAGGGGGCCGGCAGGTTATTAGTCTTCTTCTAGTTATCATTAATCATACTAATAGCATTACTAGCGTTATTCGTCTTCTTAGCATTCTAGTAGTATCATATACTAATACGGTTTCATCATTTTGTTAATGCTATTCTTACTATGGTGATTAGTATTATGACTGCCATTATTTCAAATATTATTGCTACTACTCTTATTCCTCCTCCGCCTCCTCCTCCTGACCCTTCTCCTCGCCCATCCTCCTTCCAGTCCTCCTCCTCCTCACTCACCCACCCTCCCACCCACTCACCAACTCACCCACCTACCCACTCACCCACTCACTCACTCACTCACTCACTCATTCACTCACTCGCTCACTCGCTCACTCACTCGCTCACTCACTCACAGACTCACTCCTCCCCCACTTCCCATCCTCCTCCTCCTCCTCAACTTCCTCCTCCTCCTCCCGCGCTCTTCGTCCTCCACTTCCTCATTCCTCGTCATCGTCGTCCTTCTCCCCCGTCCCTCCTCGGCGAACGCCCCGACGCACGAGGGCTAGCAGCGCGTCGTCGTACGCTGCGCCCCATCCAGAATGCAGAGACCAAGATCTGCCCTCAAGCAGGGTAGGCCGAAACCTTCCTAGAATAACCGAATACCATGATTCACTGTATGTCTCCAACCCCATACACTAGGAGCTCGACCAAACTAAACCTTTTACAAGAAACCCAATCCTGAGACCTCAGGACGTGCATTGAGTTTAGTGTGGGAACGTCACGCGTTCCATAGCCAAACCATCGAAACCCAAGAAACCCAGGGCACCCTGGAGGCAAGCAGGGTGTTTCTTGGCATGACTTTCCTCTGTACGTCTTCAACCGCATGCACAAAGGCGCACACCCACACTGCCCATCGAACGTAGCAGTAGGCCGCAATCGTCGAAACCAGTGTGGGCGTGTTCCCGACCCCCCGGGAGAAGGAAAACCTGGGGGTGGATGGGCATGTTCCCGACACCTGGGGGGTTTAGGGGGAGGGCCTCGGACATCACAGTGGAACAGACACGTATGTGTCTGACTTCCGTCCACGAAAAGGCGGGGCCAGGACCCTCTAAACCCCCTCTCAGGAGAAGGGGGGGGAAGGAGGTGGTCCCACAGGTGCTACCGAGGCAACACACCCTCGTGACAATAATCGCAGGGTCCGCGCCCTCGAGTTTACGCCCGCGCACCGAACCTACAATAAGCCAACTCAACATCTAACTACCCAGCAAGCCTGCCGACTAGACAGCAGCCCAACCAACCAACCAGCAAGCCACCCAACCAACCCAGCCAACCCAACCCAACCCACCAACCCAACCACCAACCCAGCAAGCCTGCCGACTAGACAGCAACCCAACCAACCAACCCAGCCAGCCTGCCGACTAGACAGCAACCCAACCAACCAACCAGACAGCCAGCCGAGGAGCCAACCTGCAGACCAACCAACCGACCCAACCACGTAGGAAAACAAAAATGGGGGCCGGCGGCAGATGGTCAAGCCCTTCAGACAACAAATTGGCACCCACGTACTCCGCCTCATTAGTCGCTGGCTCTCGCAAACAAGTTTCAGTGGTCTGGTAAGACCTGATCCCATTGCATATCACGTGCGCGGCACACGTGCTTAACATAGAGTCGTTGCTAGTACCCTCCTCATCATATTCAACCTGTTCCTGCTGCTGCTCTCCCTACTTGCTTAAAGCATAGACTTCCCCTTAATCTCTGGCACTGGCTGCAAATGACGAACATGCCGCAGGAAACGGCTGGC